AACATCATAACCATAGTGAGACTGAGATAACATCATAACCATAGTGAGACTGAGATAACATCATAACCATAGTGAGACTGAGATAACATCATAACCATAGTGAGATAACATAACCATAATGAAACTGAGATAACATCAAAACCATAGTGAGACTGATATAACATCATAACCATAGTGAGACTGAGATAACATCATAACCATAGTGAGATAACATAACCATAATGAAACTGAGATAACATCAAAACCATAGTGAGACTGATATAACATCATAACCATAGTGAGACTGAGATAACATCATAACCATAGTGAGATAACATCATAAGCATAATTAGACTGAGATAACATCATAACCATAATTAGACTGAGATAACATCATAACCATAATTAGACTGAGATAACATCATAACCATAGTGAGATAACATCATAACCATAGTGAGATAACATCATAACCATAGTGAGATAACATCATAACCATAGTGAGATGGCATCATAACCATAGTGAGATAACCATAGTGAGATACCATAGAAAGGCTGAGATAACATCATAACCATAGTGAGATAACAATATATTTTCAATTTTCAGCCATGTTTATCTCGAGTACAACCATGTCTAAAACAGATGGACGGACCTACTGTATCAATAATGGAAAGAATCTGTTAACTGTCCAATCTACTGCTCACACCGACATTTACAATAACTTCTTACAACAAAATGATGTGTAAGTATTATGATATATAAACTAAATAATTCCCAATATGTAAGTTTAAAAGGGTCAAGTCTGTAATTCAATATCATCCATAGTCTTCGACATTGCAAACACGATTTATTTGTCAGTTTAAATCAACATTAATGTTGTTATCTTACCAGGAAAACTTGGGCTTCTGATATCCAATATTTAAGACGAAATGAACATTTTAAAACTGGCACCCGAATCGCGTGCCAAATTGCTATCGGGCACCATTTACATGAAGGGAATCGACGAACGAGGCTAAACATATCCCGTTTAGGAGAATACTACGGATGTAGAATAGAATAACCAGACGCCAAAGACTGCCATTCAAATCGGATTCGTCAGGTACTTCGACGAACATAACTGGTTAGAAATTACAGTAAAAACAGAAACGATTGAATGTTTTTCAATTTATATACATTCATATTACATTATTATATGCGTTGCGACCTATTTGTGTCCATTTCTAGATGCCAAAGAGTAGAGATTTAACTCCTTTAATATTACTCGCTAGTCTGATTAAAAAAGATCCTATTTCGTTTCGTTTTTTATAGTTCAAAACTTTTAATCAAGTCCACAAGTTTATTGACATGTCAAACAGATTTTAATCTTGCTTATTAATTGTTTTAATTTACAATATTAGTTTCAAATTTACGTGATGATGTAACATATAATATATATTATACATTGCCATCCGCCTCATCATATATGTATTTACATATATTTACGTGTTTGCCATTTTAACTGTGTATATACACCCATGTCTCACATCATAGGGTCAAAAGCGGCTCGTATGACCCCTGACGCGTCCTTTCAGTATAACTGTTCAGGTCTTCATGTAGTGTAGGCCACCGCAAGTATATAAAAAAAAAAACGAAACGAAATATAGATCTGTATTTTAATCAGATTAAGAGGGAGAGAGAGAGAGAGAGAGAGAGAGGGAGAGAGAGAGAGAGAGAGTTGGGGGTTTAACGTCCACTCGACACAGACTAGGTCATTTCGGGACTAGCATATGGTTTAATTTTATTTCAATAATTCGTTTGCGCGTAGGGGTCGTTAGCAGTGGGAGAAAACCGGGGTCCCGGAGAAAACCCACGAGGTTGGACAGATAACCCTACTCCTTGTCACCCCCAACCGGGGATTCGAAACCACGCCATTTGACTCAATGACAGGCCTTATGATACAGCATGCACGTGCTAACCATTCGACCATCTAACCCCCCTTAATCAGATTGAACTACTCCCTATAGTTATAACTCCTACTTTTCTGCACCAGCCGGACTAATGAAGACGGGCATACGCCGCGTGGTGTGCCGGCGGAAACTGTGCCCAGAAAGCGGTGTTACGGCCAACTATTGTTTCAAATTGCTACTCACCATCTTGTTGGGAGTTATCTATTTTCTTAAAGCGACATTAGTTAAGAGTTTAATAAAGAGCTGGTCATTCTTGCTATGATTCAAAAATAGATGATAAAAAAAAAAGAAAATATTGAAAATTTCATTCAAATTACTTGATTCTCAGCCAAGTTTTGACAAATCGGGACATGGCCTGATCGCTTTCACATTTTTAAATCAAATTTTTAAATGGCGAACCGTTTTAATCGATTATGGTCTTGTCTTGTTAATAAATATCTAATTAATAGTTTATATAACATTTCAGGCCTAAAGAAAGACCTGCAATAGACAGATTTAGCTCTTGCATAATGTACGTTTAATATGATTAATACAATGACGTCATTATTAATATGACGTCATAATGTATGTTTAATATGATTAATACAATAACGTCATTATTAATATGACGTCATAATGTATGTTTAATATCATTATAGCCATGATAGTGTATGGATTGGTTTAGAATACAACTTGTCCAGTTTTACATTTGTATGGTCTGATGGTCGAGAATTTAATGGTGAAGACTTGTGGGATACTGACGAACCAAAGGAACCAGAAATAAAGAACTGTGTTATTAAACGGGACCACGGTAGAAAATTGCATACGGAGGAATGTAGCCAACAGAACAAAGTTCTATGTATTTCGTAAAGTATTTATCCGTGATTTGCATAATAGGGACCTTTCGCATCGGTACGAAAACGAACACCAAAACGAACATATGTTCGTTTACGTTTTCGTTTTCGTATCCTCTAACACGCGGTTTCGCAATCCGACGTACGATAATAACTAGATGGCGTTAATTTCCACTCCATGAACTTCTCGGTCAAGGCAAAGTTTTCAATCGATTTTTCGGCAGATATACAACAAATCAAGCAGAATATTCCTTGTGAGCACATTCTACGAACGCTACACAATCAACAATATACACAAAGGCTCGAAAAATGGTGAAAAATTCAATATATGAGACAAGAAACATATTCGTTTGCATACCTACGTAAACCCAGCTCAATACGCGCAACGTTTTTCACTGGCCGAACACTCATTACGGATTGACGTCACAAGTACACACGAATTGATGACGTTTTCGTTTTCGTATTCGTACCCGTGCGAAAGGTCCCTAATATCAAATTTCTCACGTCTAAATCCACGCTAATACGTACTAATATTGATTATTTAACATTCAGTTAAGAAACAAAATGTCAACGCTAGATAATCTCCTGGCATCGATTCGATCAATTGGGTTCACGGCGAATAAAGATGGCGGCGTGCTTGTTTACATGCGGGGAGCAGCATTGGGTCGATGGAATTTGCTATTCGTTATTTCTATACATCCCAAAATTTAAGGTAAAACGGAGTAAAACTGGCTGGAAGACGACAAAATGACTGACAGTGTAGCTAGAAAATGTCACCATGCATGTGTCGTGAGTTCGGGTTTATTCAAATAGCTGCTATGAAGTAATTTTAGCTATCTACCAGAATTTTTCACAGAAATAAAACTGGTACTTCTTCAGATATATAGTTTATGTCACGAGCTGTTTATATATGCCACGAGCTGACTATTTATGCCACGAGCTGCCTATTTATATCATGATCTGGTTATTTATGCCACGAGTTGTGAATTTATGCCACGAGCTGTTTATTTATGCCACGGGCTGTTTATTTATGTCACGAGCTGGTTATATATATCACGAGCTGTTTATTTATGTCACGAGTTGTTTATTTATGCCACGAGTTGTTTATATTTATGCCACGAGCTGGTTATTTATGCCACGAGCTGTTTATGTCACGAGCCGGTTATATATGCCACGAGTTGTTTATTTATGTCACGAGCTGTTTATATTTATGCTACGAGCTGTTTATTGATGTCACGAGCTGTTTATTTATGCCACGAGCTGTTTATTTATGTCACGAGCTGCCTATTTACGTCACGAGCTGCTTATTTATGTCACGAACTTCCTAGTTATGTCACGAGCTAGTTATTTATTTACAATTTTATTTTGCAATAAAATGTCGAAAAACACACACCCACCCTCCTTATTTTGCGTTCCTTTATAGAAATGTATTGCATTTGAGACAAAACACCAACACAATGTCGTATTATAGAAATTGACACAAATGGGTAGCAACGCATGTAATAATGTAATATGAATGTACATAAACTGATTTACATTCAATCGTTTCTGTTGTTACTGTCATTTCTAACCAATTATTTTCGGCCAAATACGCGAGTAGTCCAAATTGAATGGCATTTTTTGGCGCCTGGTTATCCCAGTCTACACCAGTAGTATTCTCCTGTAATTAAACCAACCTCACACCTTGGTCACCCTTCTTACCTGAAAAACAGAAAATGTTAATTAAGTTTAAACAGAAACATGGTGTAGATATTAAAATAGATATTACTATATCAAGGTAACCATGCTAATATGTACTTCAATTGATCATGTAAGGTCTGTCATTGAGTCAACTGGCGTGGTTTGGAATCTCCGGTTCTACGTGACAAGGAGTAGGGTCGCCTGTCCAACCTCGTGGGTTTTCTCCGGGTCCTCCGGTTTCCTCCCACTGCTAAAGACCCCTACGCGCAAGCGAATTATGTAAATAAAATTAAACCATGTTAGTCCCGAAATGACCTAGTTTGTGTCGAGTGGACGTTAAACCCCATTTCTCTCTCTCTCTCTCTGTCATTGAGTCAACTGGCGTGGTTTCGAATCCCCGGTTGTACGTGACAAGGAGTAGGGTTGCCTGTCCAACCTCGTTGGTTTTCTCCGGGTCCTCCACCCGCCCGCCCCCCCCCCCCCACTGCTATAGACCCCTACGCGCAAGCGAATTATTGAAATAAAATTGAACCATGTGTTAGTCCCGAAATGACCTAGTTTGTGTTGAGTAGGGGATAATGAAATGCAAATACATGTACATATGCAGGTTGTGATATGATAAATAGTCATGGACATTTAACATTCTTTGAGAGTATGTTCACAGATGAAGAACTTATCGTCCCAACAGAAACTACTGAGCTGCACATGCGACACGCAATAGCGCCATACACGTGGGAGGGGTTCATTGTCAAGTTTGACACTTCAAGGAAGGGTTGATGAAAACTGCCGCGTGCTGGTTTATCTATCCATGTTTGCTTTCCTATCGGTTCTTGCATAAGATTTACTGTTTAGCGTATCTTTGCTTTAGTGTGTTTCGTTTAATTTGATCGGGAGACGTGTTCGTCGACGTCAACGCCAACCGACAACACTGCAAGAATTGGCAGTGCCACTGCAAGAGGAGTGGGTCTGATTGCCCCAAATCGTGATTATACGGTTGATTAGGAGCATGTCACGACGAATTGCTAAATGTCTGAGGATTGGTGGAGCAATTACTCATTATTATGACAAAAATCAAAAACGTCCATTTTCACTTTTGATGGTGTATCTTTTTGTGAGTGAAATGGGACCGTCAGATAAGCCGCCCATATGAACTGTTTATGTTCATGTGTAGGCAATTGGCCTTTTTGCTCCTGCAATGACGGTTCGTTAAAAATAAAAAACGAAGTAGAAAAATCAATCCTTATTCGTTTATTCCTGTACCCATTTTTGATAAACTCGTTCATTATGATGACAATGAAGGTAAGTATATATACGTTACTGAATACATGAACGTTGAATGATTGTGTGATGAAAGAGAGAACGAAGAACGGTTTCACTGAAAAGATAAAAATACACATGTATGTGTTTACAATAAGCTCTATAACATATACGTTCTACATAACTAATAAATAATAAGTATTGATGAGTGATGCTGGCACTAAAACGACTCATAATATGGAATGCATCACCTATCAAGGAATACAAACTTACATGTAGCAGACGAGGAAATTGCACTCACGTGACACAAGCAATATCGGTTTTGCGTGGGGAAAAAAACACCCGAAAGTAAATCGTTAAATTTGACAGAATTATGACTTGACAGTGAATAAAAATAATATGAAAATGATCTGCGATATCTGTTTACACTTTTACATAATTCTCAAGTAAACTTACAACTTGTGAGAGGGTAACAGGCGTTAGAAATGCATGGTCTCTAAAACACATGCCGTTTTTCTGCACATCAATGGCGTTCGCTAATACCGGTTGAGTATGAATTTCGGATTTGGATTACGTTACGTTCAAATTACAGACTTGGACTAAATAAGAAAGGAAACGGCATTCTGCCGTAACATACCGACCCCTTAAACAATCATATTGTTTAACAAAAAAGTTACGGAAGAATGAAAAACAAATAAGTTACACAGAAACATGCACAATAAAACTGTGTACGCATATTAAAACACTTAAGGTATCAATAATACTAATTTTGTTATAGGTCTACGCATTACTGAATTTTGAGTCTTAACTGTGGCACTTCGAACAAAACCGTTAGCATCATTAACAGTCTCAGTGATACGTCCCATGGACCACTGGTTTCTAGGGGCATTTTCATCTACAACTAACACAATATCATTTACTGATAAATTACATTGAGGTTTTGACCACTTAACACGTTCCTGAAGCGTCAACAAATATTCTTTTTGCCACCTTGTCCAAAAACAGTCTGCAAGATATTGAACTTGTTTCCAATACTTGCGAGCAAACATATCTTCACGTTGAAATAAACCTGGGGGCAAAAGCCATTTAGAACGCATTGTCAATAACTGATTAGGGGTTAATGGGGTCAAGTCACTAGGATCGCCTGAGGTGAAAGTTAAAGGGCGACTGTACACTTTCGCTTCCACCTCGCACATAAAGGTACGAAAAGATTCATCGGTTAACGTTGGATTACTGTTCGTTAATAACAGAGAGTTCAATACTTTACGAATTGTCCGTATCTGGCGTTCCCAGACACCTCCTTGGTGACTCGCAGCTGGCGGATTAAAGGTCCACTTGATGTTTCGTTGTAGAAGTTCATCGTTTATTTGGCGTTGATTCCATTTATTGATTTCTAGCCGTAATTCTCGTTCACCACCACAAAAATTAGTTCCGTTATCACTCCTTATTTCTTCACATTGGCCTCTCCTGGCAATAAATCTACGTAGAGCTTGAATGAAAGAACTAGTATCAAGGGACGAGGCTATTTCAATGTGTATTGCACGAATACTCAAACACGTAAAAACTACGCCGTAACGTTTAAGCTCTTTGCGACCTTCTTTCACAGTAAATGGTCCAAAGTAATCCACGCCCACTCGTGTAAAAGGAGGAGACACGGTCTTTTGGAAGATCTGACATCTTTTGATTCATTATGGGTGCACGAAGCTTACGACATGTAATACACTTGGACAAGATATTACGAACAGCTGAGTTTGCATTTATGATCCAGTACCTGTCACGTAATATAGCTATAGTGTGACCTCTACCAGCATGTGCTACAGACCGATGAATATCATTCACAATTAAGTTGGTAAAATGTTCATTCCGAGGTAAAATAATTGGGTGTTTAACATTATCCGACAGGTCTGCGTTGCGTAAACGTCCACCTACCCGAAGTAGGCCTTCGCTAATAATTGGATCAAGTCGGTATAATGAACTGGTTCTTGGCACAATTTTGTGGCGATTATTATTTTGAACGTTTTGTTTGAGTATTTGTATCTCGTTAGGAAACGAATTAAACTGAACAAATTTCACAATAGCGTTTTCTGATGCGTTAAGTTCCTCCACGTTAAGTTCCTTGAAGGGTGTGTGAGAATTCCTAATCGCTAATGTTTTATCCCTTACATAGCGTTCGCGTTGTGCACCAGCTAATTCAGCGGGAATATCTTGATCTACAGCATTAATATCCTTTACACGTTTACGTAATAAATCCTTTAAACGAAGCATATAGGCAACTGAACGTTTAAGGCGGAACCAATCAGAATAGTGCTCGATTAACTTATTGACCGGATTAATATCAGTGTTGATAGTAGCTAGTGTTGCGATTTCACGTTTGACCTCTGGGTTATCAGAACTGAGTTCAGAAAGTTTTGGTTGTTCTGGCCAAGTATCTTCAGTTGTCCACAAAAACTCCGGCCCCATGAGCCAACGTGGGTCTTTTACGAAATTATCTGCGGTGGTTGTCCTGGATGCTAAATCACCAGGATTAGTATTTGTGTTTACATATTTCCACTGTTCTAATTGAGTTGAACTCCTGATGAAACTAATGCGATTTGCCACAAAAACATGAAAACGTTTTGATTCATTACGTATATACTGTAAGACTGTGGTACTATCAGTCCAAAATGTTACTGTGTGTGGCGCTAAATCTAATTCGTTGAACAACATGATGCTGAGTTTCACCGAAATCGTTGCTGCTGACAGCTCCAACCTAGGAATTGTTTTTTGTTTTAAAGGAGCTAGTCTAGATTTACCAATAAGGAAGCCGCAGTGAATCTGGCCCTGATCATTAACAATCCGTTGATAACAAACGGATCCATATCCAGTGGAAGATGCATCAGAGAAAATATGGATGCCGCGCTTTACTACTAATCCAAAATCCGGAGGGCGTAAGCATCTTTCAATTTTCAGCTGATCTAATTTGAAAATTTGGTTTCTCCATTTAATCCACCTTTGTTGAGAGTTTTCCGGAATTGCATCATCCCAACCAATCTTCAATGAACAGAGTTCCTGTAAAATTCGTTTGGCCACCAAGGTCACAGGAGATAAAAATCCCAATGGATCATATATCGATCCAACCACAGAGAGAATTCCTCTAGTAGTAAATGGTTTGTCCTTGAGTAGAATATTAAAGGTAAACATGTCACTTTCAACACACCATCGAACACCAAGACAATGTTCGACTGGCAAATCATCGTAATTAATATCTAAATGTTTAATATTCTTAGCACGTTTATCTTCTGTAATACTGTTTATAAACGTTCTATTACTACTGGTAAACTTGGTCAAATTGAAACCACCAAGAGCACAAACATGCACTATATCATTAGCAAGATCAATGGCTTCTTGCTCGGTTTCACACGATTTTAGCAAATCGTCAACATAAAAATCACGTTTAATTGATTCGATCACTTTTGAACCAAAAAGAAAATTATCATCTGCTGTTTTCTGGAGCGCATAATTGGCCACACTTGGAGACGAGACCGCTCCAAAAATATGAACTGTCATTTGATATTCTTCTGGACGTTGAGTTGTATTACCGTTAGGCCACCAGAGAAAACGTAAATAATTCCAATCCTTAGGCGGTACACTGACTTGATAAAACATTTTTTCGACATCTGCCATGAAAGCGACAGGATGTTCACGTAGTCTAATTAAAACACCAATCAAAGAATTAGCAAAGTCTGGTCCTTGAAGAAGACAGTTATTTAATGAAAGGCCATTCCATTTGGCGCTACAGTCATACACTACCCTAAGTTTGTCCGGTTTCCTTGGGTGGTACACCCCATGATGTGGAACATACCAAATCTGTCCGTCAGGCACATATAATTGTTCGCTTGGGACCTTCACAGCATATCGTTGGTTTAGCAAATCAGAAATAAAGTCACAATAATCATGCTTATATTCTGGGTAGGGTTCCATTTTGTTTTTCGAAGATTGTAAACGTTTATAAGCTAATTCCTTATTATTTGGAATATTCAAGTTTGTGTCCTTAAAGGGCAATGGTATTTCATAGTGTCCATTTACAAGTTTAGTTTCGGTGTTCACGATATGAAGAAATTGTTTATCTTCCTGAGAATAAGCTGGATCCTTACAATTATAATCTGTAAAGTCATTTTCAACAATATGTTCAAACATTTTGCAAGTGTCAATATCATGTATCTGGTTATCAATGCTCACTTGACGACCATTGATATTACTGTTCAGATCTTTAATGAAGACACGATTACAGTCTAACATTTTTGTTGACGTTTCTGCATTAATAGGTCCCACAATGGTCCATCCAAGTCGAGTAAGTACGGCATAAGGTCCATTGTTCTGGCTCGGTATCACCTTTAATGGCTCTTGGGCTTTAGGGCAATTTGTCCCAATTAACAATCCAACCTTGATGTCAGGGAAATATTCTGGAATTAAGATATTTTGAAGATAATCCCAGCGCTTTACAATTTCCGGTCTTGGTATTTTAGAGGAACTTACAGGAATTTCAGACGTGGTATAAACTGGCGGTAAATCTATAATATTCGTTCCAGTTAAATCAGTGACCTGTAGATTTTTAACAAGACGACTGTCAATTTCACTATGTCCATGCATTGTTCCTAAATTAACTCTCGTTGGGATACTTTCAACGTTGAGGTCTGATTTTACGTCATCATCCAATATACAATATAAATATAAGTCATTTTACTTGCGTTACTGTCTTTACTAATTACTTTACCCGGTACAATAGACATCATTACGTCAAAATCATCATCAGTGCAATGACTGATTATTCGATCAGTATTCGGTGCAATACTAGTGTCAATACAACCATTACTCAAATTAGGCACATTACTACTTAGCTGATTTGGGCGAGAAATATTCTGTTGTGATGCGTTGTGTTGTGTTGATAGATTTCTATTTCCATAATTGACGTTAGGTTGATACATGGCATTAGGTGGACGTTGATAAGGATAATGTGATGGTTGTCGAAGTGGCTGCATTTGCTGATGTGCGTTTGATGTTTGAGCGTTAAAAGGTGTTGATGGCAGTTGATAACTAACACCACTGGCTTGCAATGATGCTGGTGGAGCGTTAAGCCATGGATTAGTAAAATAATCTGCATGAAGAACAGTAGGATGATTTTTACCACATTTACGACAGGTTCGTTTAAATCTACAGTTTTTACTTTCGTGAAATCTTCCTAAACAACCGAAACACATGTTGTTTACTATAGCGAACTTACGACGATCACTATATGAGAGTTTCATAAAATCTTGACAAAGGTCAAGGTTATGTCCCTTTAAACAGTAATCGCATTTCTCTGTATTGTATGGATTAACCGATTTGACAGGCACAGAAGTTTGCTGTGGCCTGTTAATGCCTGTACCAAAGTACTGTTTTAGTTTATAGTCTGTTGGTCTGGACACCCTTTCAGGAGTTTTGTCTAGAGTTCTGCCAAACACTGGATCAGTCATGACGTCCACTTCGTAGTTAACAAATTCAACGAAGTCTTTATATCTTGCTTCTCGATTTTCATTAATTTGGCAATTATGTGCTTTTCTACGCCATCTGTCTCTCATAGAAAAGGGTAACTTTTCCATAAGACACCTCAGATTTTGGGGATTGTTCAAATCATTTAGATAGCTTATATATCGGTACTAGCATTCAAGCATGTAAGGAGTTGTTGTGAAAACTTCCACAATAATCGTAGATTTTCTGGTTTCATTTGTGGCCACTTCAACAGCTCGTTAATATAGGCTTGTGTAATTTTAAAATCATTACCAAAGGTTTTCTTGATCAGATTTTTACCAGTTTGAAAGCATTCAGTAAGTTCCATGTGAAGACAACTATTTACAAAATCATTAGGATCATTAGATGTGAATTGAGCTAAGTAGTACAGTTTATCGGTGTCATCCATAGCATATTTTTCTATTCGATTTTCAAAGGCCTTTTCAAATGTTCGATATTTTAAAGGATCACCATCAAATTTTGTAATTTCAGGTTCGGGTAATAAGCTACGATGTTGCTGATTCAAAATTAATTCTGAGAGTTCAATTTGCGTTTTCACAATATCTTTCACATCACTATCAGTCACTGTATCTGATTGTGACTTAGGAAGATTAGCAGACTAGGCGGCGGAGGATTTGGAAGTGGAATATGATATGGCGTTGACGAAATATGAACATCGGGTGGCAAAACAGGAGTTGGCCGCAAGGGCTCATCCATATCGAACTCTTCTAAAAGCACGCGTTCCCTAGCTTTAGATATGTTAAGTTCGGTTTGGAGCTGTAAACGATCTCGTTGAGCTTTTAATTCAAGTTCTTGCTGTTGTAATTGCTGTTCTGCTTCTAACATTGCAGCTCGCGCCTCGAGTCCCGCTTGTCGAGCCTTTTCTTTAGCAACATCCCCTTTAATACTTCTTGAGGAAGGCTTTGAAGACGTCACCGATACTTGATCATCCTGAATTATCAATCCTTTATTTGTCTTTGAATTACTGTCTATCGTTCTTCCTGATTCTAACCAACTAGGGCTATCATCAAGCCAGTCAAACACTGCTTTAGACATTGTTTATATAACAACGGTAAACCACAAATTATCAAACATTTGTTCAAGAAAGTTTGAAACTAAATATTGCTCCTGCAATGACGGTTCGTTAAAAATAAAAAACAAAGTAGAAAAATCAATCCTTATTCGTTTATTCCTGTACCCATTTTTGATAAACTCGTTCATTATGATGACAATGAAGGTAAGTATATATACGTTACTGAATACATGAACGTTGAATGATTGTGTGATGAAAGAGAGAACGAAGAACGGTTTCACTGAAAAGATAAAAATACACATGCATGTGTTTACAATAAACTCTATAACATATACGTTCTACATAACTAATAAATAATAATTATTGATGAGTGATGCTGGCACTAAAACGACTCATAATATGGAATGCATCACCTATCAAGGAATACAAACTTACGTGTAGGCGATGTAGCAGACGAGGAAATTGCACTCACGTGACACAAGCAATATCGGTTTTGCGTGGGGAAAAAAACACCCGAAAGTAAATCGTTAAATTTGACAGAATTATGACTTGACAGTGAATAAAAATAATATGAAAATGATCTGCGATATCTGTTTACACTTTTACATAATTCTCAAGTAAACTTACAACTTGTGAGAGGGTAACAGGCGTTAGAAATGCATGGTCTCTAAAACACATGCCGTTTTTCTGCACATCAATGGCGTTCGCTAATACCGGTTGAGTATGAAACTCGGATTTGGATTACGTTACGTTCAAATTACAGACTTGGACTAAATAAGAAAGGAAACGGCATTCTGCCGTAACAGGCCTGTTATTAACATACACTGGTTACGGCTAATAAAAACAGCAGTGCATTTCCGCAGTTTTGCATTGTTTCTGAATATCCCCTACTTTTTATGAAGAGTATATGATAACCAGAAGAGGTCGGATGTTCGATCTCTGCATTGGCCGAGAAAGTTCATCCAGATTTTCCGGCGTGGTTCCCCCTTGTCAGTGATGCAGGACGGAGGGCCTGACAAGGACAGCTGTCTAGTCCTTCGGATGAGACGAAAAACCGAGGTCCCGTGTATACATTGGAATGCACGTAAAAGATCCCTTGGCAGTTGGAATTCGATATAAGAGTAGGCGATAGTGCCGCTGCTCGGGCAAAATTTCCCTCATAGCACACTGTATGGCGTATGCCCGTCTTCATTAGCCCAGCATAGGAGTAGAACAGTAGGACGTTAAACCCCATTTCATTTCATTTTCATTTTATTTCAGATTCGTCCATTCCCGCACACAAAAATCCCGGGGGCTATAGCGTAGATCAGATTGTACAGATCCACAGAATTTACGAGGAAATAGTTCGACTTTATCTATAAACATTTCTTCTTCCTTGACTCGCCCAGTGTATATCCTGTTTTGTGACAATTCAAAACCCCCCATGTTTGTAACCTGTTCTTTGATTAGATCGAATCTTTCGCTGATTTCAGGTCCATCAGAGATGATACTAGCACGGTATGTTGATCTGGCTCGTGTTCCAGACATTTGAAGGTGGTTTGGCGGAGCAGGAATGTCGTTGCTTACTCCGTTTTTTTTCTAACTGATTATGTTGTATATTTTTACGTGGTATCGGAGGCTTTGTTATACTATTAACACACTCAGAATAAAATTTCCTTTTAAGGCCACATTTTCACATATCACGTGCTCCAATATATCCTGTATACTTGATATCTTTGCCTCAAATCGATTCAGTCTCTCAACAACAGTTGAAATACTATTCAATTCTTCTGGGTACGAACGGGGAATGTTTCCTAGATCCATAGCATTTATGGTAACGATTGGTATCTTATATATATATAGTGTATAGATTAGTATATATATGTTAAACCATAGAGTACCATATCATAACTAAAATCAACATGGACGTCTGGAGATTTATTTTAGTCAGTTGTATATTTCATTATACTACTACAGGTGGGTTTTCTTTCATTTATTTATCCTTCTTTAAAGTTTTCCTTCCACTTCCACCTTGGGAGATATCGCAGACAAGTATTTCCCGAGAAACTTGCAAAATAGTAGGTTTAGTTTTGCATAAGTAGGAGACACGAGATTAATTAGGGAGACGGACTATTCGAATCAGTTTCCTTTTGGTCAAGACGCAGTGCGTTTTGTAGGGTAGCGTGGGGGTGTCCGCAACCCTAAACCCTAACCCTAACCCATTTTTTAAAACCCCTAAAAAATATAAACAAACACCATGTGGCCATGCTGTCTACCAAGACACCGTCGGTGGAACACAGGTACTTTTCACTTCACACATGTTTCCAGGATGGTTATCTCTGCGTTTTATTTTAGCAGTATAAACCATATTGGGATATGTACAGGTTTTATACAGATAGAATCTTAACTATTCCTAATAATTGTTGTAAATAAATAGGAGTTTGGGTCTGCTATGTAAAATTTTTGGCGAGTCCATGGTAGGGTCTAGGGTAAATCCAAAGGAGTTGTATATTTTATTTTACTACAAAAGGTAGGGTTTCTTTCATTTATTTTGGAGGACTGGGGTGGCCTAGTGGTCTAGAGTGCCCCGCTTAGACCTCTGGCTTGTCGGTCACCTCTGGCTTGCGGCAGTGGTTTTGATCCTGGTGTGAGCGTATGTGGCTTGGAGATAGGGGCGCCTTCTCAACTTCGTGGGTTTACTCCGGGTACTCCGGTTTCCTCCCACAGAAAAGACCCCTGTGCGTGCGCTAAGATAATAATAAAAAAATAAAATAAGTCTTTTCTGCGATATGACCTTCGGTGGAAGAGGACGTTAAATACTAAGAATAACAACATCATTTATTTTTTCACTCATATACATGTCATTTATAGGAGAGAATTCGGTCATTTTCTGTGACGAGGAAGTGAACCATTATTACCACCAATGTTGTCGTGGGTCAATATTTACACAAAATGTATTTATTAAAAGAGAAGCAGAAAGTTAAGGCATATAAACTTTTTGTGAAAAAAAACCACACCAGTTATGGTGGTGGTGGGAGTATTCGTGGGGTTGTGCGGTTTTTGTCCGGTTTCTATTCTAAATTAACCTCTGTTTTTATATTGCTTAATTTGAACTCTGAATTACGTATTGTATTGTATTAGAAAGGTATAACTAATCCTGAATTACGTATTGTATTGTTTTAGAGTGGTATGAATAACTCCGGGACCTGTTTCTTGAAATCTTAACTAAAGATAAAATCCAAATTTTAGTAGTTACTTCAATTTTGATTGGCTAAGTACTAAAATCAATCCAATATTATCCAATCAAATTACTAAAATCTGGATTTTATCTTAGTTAAAATTTTGTGAAACAGGCCCCTGGGCTATTATGAGTACATTCAGGAACATACGCGTGCCTTTTAATCGAATGTCGCGTCTTCTTGACATATGACGACAAAAAAAAATTAAATATTTTTTAATTACGTATAGATTAAAGGATTAGTGAAATGATTTATGTTAATATGATTAATTTAATTTAGCACTGGGTATATGTAAAGATAGTTATAGGACAACAGGTTGTTTGAAACTAAAATCTGGATGTTCTGTATACCCCGCTAGACAATGGTGGATCAGGAATTGTATGAAGACATGCGGAATATGTACAGGTAGGTGTTAAATATACAGCTGTCTTATACTGAAAGTTAGCAACATGGATTTACATACATATGAGACAAGTCAATTTGTTTGAATGTCAAATAAAAAATAAAAAGAGCCCGTCTGAAAATATAAATGTACACTATTGGCCGACTATTAAACCAAATTAGCCAGGTAAAGATAAGAAATTACCTCGAACAAATCGCAACATAATTTTATTCACGAGATACTGATTGAAGGACACCTGTAAGATTTCCAAGATGGCCGTCAGTGGACTTTTACCGGTCTGTATCGCGGGAATGGTTCATTTCCGAGCATATAACTGTATTTTGAGTAAATATGAAAGTGACATCAAAGAATCGGAAAACATATCATCTCACGCCCTATAAACATATTATCTCACGCCCTGTATATGTTACAGTCAATGTCTACAATCAGGCAATGTGTACAATGCCTGAAATAACCAGTCAATGTGTACAATGCCTAATGAGGCCAGTCATTGTGTACATTGCCTAAAATTTCCAGGCACATTGACTGATTGTTGAAGAGCGATTATTGAGAAGACTAGATTACCACAGGTTTCGTTCTGTGATCACATAGGCTTCATTTCATATAAAATATACTTTAATAGGTTATTTGTCGGTTAATATGATTAAC